CTACCAATGTGCGATGAGTTAAAACTCACTTAACCCATTTATTATTCGCTTCTAACTACCTTACTTTGACAAGTAATTTATCATTCATTTTTAATCCGTTTTAAACGTGTGATATATCGAAACGAAGGTATCACTGAGTAGAATACAAATATATAATCATTAGCCCGTTTTGATTTAAATTCCGAAATTCGCACTAAAAAATATGAAAAAAAACCCATTTTTAAAGTTAGTAAAACTAGTTTTCCGAGAGCTGCTTCCCTTACCAATATCTTTCTTCCACACGTTTCTTTCCCTCTTCATAATATCGATGTTTTAAGGTAACTTTCGATTAAAACTTGATAATTACCATTAATAATTTGTGATCTAAAAAAATGTTAGTATAATACTTCAACTTGATTTAAGGAGAAATACTTGAATAGTATTACCCAAAAAAGGAACAATCAATAACAAAAAAAAGTCATACATAAACAAGAATATATGTATTTGAACTATTTGCATATTCTTCATGTAAGAAAAGTTTAAATTGTTCGGCTTTCAAATGACGATAAACATTCTCATATCCTAACAATATATTAATCATTTAAGTTACACCTAATATTATGTGCTCTTTTTGGAACGTAAATCTATGTTAAGCATTGGATTCGGGCATAAAACTTTGACTATAATAACATAATCAAGATTAAGATTCTTAATTGAAAATGACCCATTGTTGCTTTCCTAATGTTTTGTTCTTTAGGATAAACAAAGGACTTAAAGAATTTTATTTTATTTAATATCATATAACGACATTTGTTTTAAGAATATTTAGTCTTGTCTTCTATTGAAATTGGGAAAATATGGCTTTCAGGAAACAAATGTGATAATGAGGTTTGAAAAACTTAATATGTAGTTAGAATTATGTACATAATATGTTAATACTAGTGATAAACAATGTAATTAATAAATTTATATTACGATTAGGCTGAAAGGTATACCCATGTAAGAGAGGCGTAAGGATAAGGTGGCATACCTCTCCTGTACGTAACCCTCACCCCACCCAAGTGTAATCGTAAAGTGGCGTAGCCAAGGCTACATGTCCTAATAAGGTTGAAAGAAAGAGCGTAACTATCATATGACCGTTTCTGACCAATTAAAAAAAGTCTTAGAAAAGACAAACCCACTTTTACCTATAAAAACTAATTTATTACACACTTCAAATATCACACATTTTTAATAAAAGTTTTTATACATTCCACACTACAATTGATGAACACTTTTTCATCTTCATCTTCATTTAATGATGATGATATATTTTTTCAGCCGTTCCTAGAAACGATGGTCACTCTCGTGGGTCAAAAAGTCGAAAGTGGAAATGCCATCAAGATGACTAGAATTTCAATCAACATGGATGGTACGAGTGCACATACATTTCTGGTATGTTATTACTTTGCCGATGATTTCATATATGACTATATTAAATTCAAACGTCGTTTCCGTATATGACTATATTAAATTCAAACGTCGTTTCCATATCAGTAGACCTATATTCTTATGCATAGCTAATGATTAAGAAGATAATTACAATTTTTTTTTTCAATTGAAATTGGACGCTAGAGGTAGACAGAGTTTTAGTTCGCAAAAAAAAATGTACTTTCGCACTTCGGATTTTGGCATACAACATCACCGCATACAAATCATATGAGTATTTGAATATGTCTCTGAAAAACAAAGTTCGAGAATGTGTATATTTCTTTTACGAGTATGTTGCAAAGATTTATCATGGCACATATTTTCACAAACCTAAGAGAAGTGATGTTGAAAAGTTGTACTCTGCATATCAAACTAAACACATTTTCTTCATGAATGTTTGGTAGCATTGGATGTAAACATTAAGAATGTAAAAATTGTCATAATGTTTGGCGAGGTCAATTCACACAAAGTGATGATGGAGTGCCAACTGTAATGCTAGAAGCAGTAGGTTCAAACAATCTATGATTTTTGCATGCATTCTTTGGTATGGCTATTTCGTTGAATGTGTTAGGCACATTGTCGATATGCAATGATATTCTGCACAGTAAAACACCTTATTTACGTATGTTGTGAATGCATAGAAGCTTTAATTTTCGTGCTTATCTTAATTGTTGGTTTAGTTTATGCATGGTACCGTTGAGATGAGATATATATTGAGTATGTTATATTTATTAAATCATACTCATATTCACAAGATAAAAAAGAAAATTGTTCAAGCTAATACATGAATCGTCAAGGAAGGATGTGGAATGAGTTTTTGGAGTGCTCAAGAAGAAATGACACAAACTAAAATACCTGAAACTATCATGGGATAGGAAAAATTTAAATAAGATAATGAATGCTTATGTCATTTTACATAAGATGGTAATAGAAGATAAATGTGAGACTATTTATATATATAATCTGAATGATTTACTTCATCCACCTATACAAATACAAATCACACACCGACATACTGCAAGAGTGTTTTGGAAATACAAAACGAAAGAACACACAACAATCCCCATCAAGATTTAACGTAACACATATACCAGAAGCAATGTAACCATGACAATGAGGACAATGACGATGAGACCGACTAGGAGGAACATATGACGGTGACAACGACAACAATACATAGTTGTTTTAATTTCTTTTAATGCTAAACTTCTAAATTCTATTGTCTTTTTCAATTTTAGTTTTGTAACTTTTTATTTTCAATGCTAGAATGTTGTATTTTTTTTAATTGAACTTTAATCATGTTATTGTTAATATGTATAATTTTAAATATATGAATGTCATATTAAATTAAATAAAAAATGAAAAGATTATGATAATATGGAATAGTAGATATTTTCTAAAGTTTACTAAGATTGAAATGAAGATAAGTAAAACTTTTTAATGATATGGTGTTAAAATGATGTACTGTTTTAACAAGAAATTGTAGCACGTACCGAATACATACTCAATGGTGTTGATATGTTGTTCCTATCTCTTGGTTTTGGATTTGTTTAAAGATTTTTTACCAACTCTCTAGACTACATTGTTAATGTCAAACTGTCAAACAACTAAAAGCTTATATTACAAACAACTAAAGTGAATTTACGGAAAACAGTTAACTTTATGTTGTTCCTCTCTCTTGGTTTTGGATTTGTTTCAAAGATTTTTACCAACTCTCTAGACTACATTGTTAATGTCAAACTGTCAAACAACTAAAAGCTTATATTATAAACAACTAAAGTGAAATTTAGGAAACCAGTAAACTTTGCGCTATAAAGAATTGAAAAAACAAAATCTTCATATGCAACTACAATTTTATTTTTGTGAATAAATTATTTTCATTATTCAAACGTATGACATTTTGGACACGGATAATAGTCTCGTTAGTTGATTAAAGCGAGTAGGCACCACAGTTATGCGGTGAACACCAGTGTTTGGTAGTGCAGGGTCCAACCCTGCACTACAGATAGTTTCATCGCATGTAATTCTCCTTTTCCAACGGGTATGAGGCTACAACTATAACAATAATATTTTTTAAATCAATCATTATAAATTCTATATTCGATATACTTCATTTCACACAACCAATATACATTCTATTACTCAAATCATGCAAAATACTATATTTTCTACTACCAAAATAATCCAAACAACTCTACCACCAATCTCACCCCAAATCCAACCGAAACAAATCACGTACAAGTGGTTCAAGAACACCGATTGCAAATGTTTTTTCTTTGGACCCATCGGTTTACCGACCGAATCATCCAACTCCAAAAGATGAGGAAAATGAAAGAGAATTGTTGGTTAGAAAAGAAAAGACGGCCCCTCAACAATGGACACCAGAAGAAGAGAAAAAATTAGCCGAGTCATGGGTCGACATTTCGAAGGATCCCATAACCGGAAATGTGCAACAAAGTGATCACTTTTTGACACGTCACGGTGCGGTTTCACATAGTAATGGGTTGTGGCGATTACCGTACAAAAGACTAATGTACGTCCAAGTTTCGCAAAATGAACAAAATTGTTACAAAATTTAATGGAGCATTTAAGAACTTGCTAAGCCAACGAAAAATAAATGAAAGCGATGCAACTATTTCGAGTCAGCGCTTGAAATTTTTAAGATCGATAGTTGATGCCCCTCCGGGTTCGCTTTTTATAGATTATAAGGATCGTTGTTTCCTTGTTGATATGGACAACCTAGAAACAACAAACAAAAACTCATAAGCTAATTGACCGGGATGTGATCCCGAGCCAATGCTCGATTGAGAAGTGATCAGATCGAATATACCTTGTAGAGTGTTCTTTTTTCTTTATTGATAGTCGATATTGAGGGGCCATGCCCTCTTCCTACACCGAGCAGGTATGCCATCATGTTGTTTTAATGGTCGTACCCACGAAGTTACACTCGTGTGTACTTGTTAGCCGTTTTATAGTTTGGCTCGTTGGTTTAAGGACCCATCAGTCAATCATCCTTATACATGCTGTTTTCTGTGAGTTCTTATGTACAGTTACACTGTTATGATGTATTCTCGTACTTTGTTCGTTATTTCATATGGTTCGGCATATGATTGGTTCAGTATAAGCCTGGTCTGGTCTGGTATATACCTGGTCCGGCATATACCTGATTCGGTACATGACTGGTCCGGCATATACCTGGTTCGGTATATACCAGGTTCAGTATGTAAGGAGGATATACATAGATCGAGCTAGGTTACATCCTATTAAGCCCCCCAATTTGGATTGTTATTTTTCATTTACAGTAACAATTCGAACTTTTTAAAGTAACCATTAAGTCCGGATAAGAACTGACACCTAGATTAAACGTTTACGTGACGGTTCGACGGCCTGTAGGTTTCATCATTACCTACATTCAACGGTCCTTTTGTCCGTTCATGTGAGCGATTTCTGTTTGATCTCCTTATAAATAACTTCCTATGCCTGGTTATTTTTATCACCTTCTACAACTTTCTTCTTCCCGATTTATTCTCTATTCTTCATCTTGATTCAACATGGCTAACAAAGAGGTGTTGAACATTCATACCATAAAGTCTAGGCTTTCTCAGAAAACTCTTGTTGATATTGTGAAGAAGTATCACATCGATCCTGAATTTCGCCCTTGTCTTCCTAAACCGGGGAACACTATTGTTGATGCTCCGAAAGGTTTTGTTGGGGTATATCTAGTATTTTTTAGGTACGGGTTGCGTCTACCAACATTTGATTTGCTGGAGGTAATCCTTGATTATTCTCATCTTCACATCGCTCAAATTACCACAAATGGTTTTTGAAAAATCATTTGCTTTGTAATGTTATGTTGTATACTTGAGATTGTACCTTCCATCACTCTTTTCCGTCATTTTTACGTTCCTATGTTGAATAGCGATTGGATATCCTTTTATCTTCGTCGTGGTTTAGTAGAAATCTACGTTGCCCTTCCTACTTCCATAAAGTACTAGAAGGAGGAATTCTTTTTTGTTTCTTCTACTTTCACTCCCGAAGAACAGATTACTGCGAACCTTTTATCGGAGAATTATGTGAAATGGATTGATGCCAATGAAATAACGCTCAAGATGGAGAATATGAGTTCCTACTAGAACACATTAGGAAGGAAACTTGTGGAAACCCTCATAGGGCATGAAGTCATATTAGAATGATTTCAGCGCAAACGTTTGGCGAGCTCTGCTTTGGTTACTGAGGTAGTCACCATGCCTAATTGTCCTTCTCAATCAGAGTCTAGTATGGATTCCACAATGAATATTGATGGTCAGGATACGAATTTTCCAATCATTCCTTCCCCTTCTAAAAATGTTATGAAAACGAAATCAGACAGTAGGAAGCTTCATTCATCATCTGTCAGAACCGCTTTAAGATCGAAAAGGAAAGTGGTTGGGGAGAAAGTTGTTTCTCTTTGAGGGAGTTATGAACTGTTCTGATAAGATAATTGATTTAGCCTCACTGAAGCGCAAGAGGACCACTCGTGGGAGTGAATAGAAATCTCATGGGCTTCCGTTGTAACATCCCGATGATGAGGTATTTTCAATTTTAACCCTATGTATGAATAAATATTGCTCCTTGAGTATAAGAAAGAGTGCAAAATGTCCCATAGTGGCATTTTGGTGATTTTGGACAAAGGGGAAGTATGCTAGGCGTACGTTGTGTACGCTGAGCGTACTGGGGCAGGTCCTAGTACGTTGGGCGTACATCGCATATGCAGGGCGTACGTGAGAAAAATTCACACCCTAATTTTTAGGATTTGGTTCATATATAAGCATCATTATCACCTCATTTCTCATTCCCTCATCAGCCTCCATCTAAGAAAACGTCCCTCTAGCAAACCCTAAGTGAGAAGAGTGGATTTTGAGCTCATTTGTGTGCTTTGGCGGTGTTCTTGAAGAAGAAGAAGTTGGTGCAAGGACTTTGGAGCTTGGAAGCAACTTTGATCTAGGATTCTCTCCCTGTTAGCAACCTCCAAGAGGTAAAAAGCTCATAACTTGATCACCCTATCTTGTAGATCTAGTCATTTCTTCATTTAGGGAATTTTTGGTCCCAAATATGATGATTCTTGAGCATGGCATGCTCTTAACCAAATAAGTCGTCCTTTTAGACCTTATGAGGGGTCGTGAGTCATAAAAATGTGGTCTTGATGCTTAGTTTTTCTCCATGCATGCTTTAGAAGGTCTTATGGCATTAACAAGTTGGGATTTTGTGTATTAAGCACTTAATGGACATGCAAAGTCATAAAGTTGGAAACTTTATGACTCTTAGTGGTATTTTGTCCTTGGATCTGAAAGTTGGACATGAGAGCTTAATGCATTAAGCTCTTATTGAGGAAATGGAAATCTGAGCGTACGCCCTACGTAATCTAGAGTACACAACGTGTACGTGGTCAACCTCCCGACTACGGTCAAAGCTCGAGTACGCCCCGCGTACGTCCGGAGTATGGCCCACGTACGATCCCTGAGTTGACTCGGCTGGGTTGAATCGGTTGACTTGTTGATTTTGACCAGTTTTAACCAAGGGTATTTTGGGAAATGTTATTAATTTAGAATGGGAAATGTTCTGACATTTAGGATTTGGGTTGAGTTGGTTGTCGGAGTTGGGAGTTTTTCAGTCTTCATTCAGACTGTGAGGTGAGTTTTCCTCACTGTACCCGTGGATCGAAGGCACCAATGTCGGCCCACTAGATTATTTATCATGGTCAGGATGGTGATTTGATAGTTGTAGTTGCTCAGTGGATCCATATGATTATTTGTATTTGTTAGCTCTGTGTTTATGTTTGTTTGTTGTATATGTCGACATGTTGTGTTGGGTTGAGGCGGTCCTATTTTGTGCTATAAGCCACGACACCTGGGGACGACCAGATAGACTTGTAGGCCCTACGATGCGGTCTAGTCAAGCCGACGACCCGTGGAGCGGTCCGGATAGGTTGTAGGCCCTGCGAGGCGATCCAGCCATGCCGAAGGCTCGTAGAGCGATCTAGATAGGTTGTAGGCCTTGCGAGGGGGTCCAGTTAGGCTGGTTGTTTATATTGCATTTTGGTCCATTGTGGTGTCCTGGTACTTTGGGGGAACTCACTAAGCTTTGGCTTACAGTTTTAGTTTATGGTGTTAAGTACTTCTGAGGGTTGTAGGAAGGCGAAGGCATGATCATACACACCTTCTAGTTTTTATGTACTCGGGTCTTGGGAAAACTCTAATTTGAAAAATGATTTTGAAACAATGACTCTCTTTGTAAACAATATCGATTCATGGTTGGTTTTCAAAATTTTAATTTTATTGTGATTTTTGGAGTGTTACATCCGTCATATGGTGGTCATTCCTCTTATGAGGAGCCTTCATCCACAACGACTACAACAACTGCTCTTCTTGGGTGTCTGGTGGTTACCGATCTTGATCTTATGCATGTCGAGGAGAATATTCCTTCTTATGAGGTTGAGTTTTTGAGTCTTGATGCTTTTATGTTTCCAACCTCAGAAAGCCAGAAAGTTGTAGAATATGTTATTGTGTCATCTAAGAATTAAACCTCGCCCTACTTCGACCACTGTGACTATCTTTCAATAGAAGCTTTTTGGTACTGGCGCTAGTCTATTTCAAATGTATAGTGTGGAATCAATAGTCATCATTGTGAATCATCCCTTGGTTGGTTCGGGTCTTCCTTCAAGTTCGGACTTGGTTTCTGTGGAAACGTCTGACCTAATCTCTGATTTGGGGAATGATGATTTGTTGGAAGTTTTTGCTACAACTTCACCAAATACTTCGCAGCAGATCGATATGTTTCCTTTAATATTTTCTAATTTCATATGTATCTTGTTCTGTACTTCTTTATGGCAATACTTGTTGTATTTGTTTCAATGCTTCTGTCTTCCAAAAAGGACCTTGCTATGCCTACTATTGTATCCCTTGTTGCATCGCTTCCCTATTTCCAACGTCCCTTTACTAAGACTTCCGTACTCGCGATTCCTGAAATTGCAACCGCATCAAACGAAGAGAACCTTAAAAAAGCTCGTACATGTTGGATGGAAGGGATGCATTTGGTTAATGAAGTTTCTTCCCATACCCGGACTCATGCACAAATTCTTGCCTTGAAACAACTAAAGTTTGAGGAATGCTTTCAATTTATGAAAAAGTTGCGACAAATTCATGAGCAGGTGGAAGGAGAAGCTCAGAGGTTGCGGATGGAGGTGTCACTGTTTTCGAATAGAAACTAGGAGTTGGTGGAAGATTTAAGCGAGAGCCTTCGTCATCAATAGGAGTTGTCGAACTTGAACCAGGATCTTCAACTCTGAGTAGATGATGCAATTAGCCAACATTCGAGACTGAGTAAGCAACTTGAGGAAAAATCTCAACAATTTGACTCTCTGAAGCTTCAATACACCCAAAAAGTTTCTCAACTAGAGATTTCTTGCTTAGGTAAAGATGTTTGCATCAAATTACTTGAAGATGAGCTATCTAGCCTTAAAACTATGGTTGCTAAGAAGGATTTCCAATTTGCATCTTTGAATGAGTTTAATGTTTTGGTTGAAGAGAAAGAACACAAAACTGAGCATCATTCGATAGGGAGGTTTCTGATCTTCAATGGGTGATGAAGGAGGGAATCCCTTCATTTGTTCGAGCAGTCATGAATTATGGTGATTTTGGTGAACGCTGCTCTTCAGAATGCTGCCATCCAGTTAGGGCTCCATCAGGCTTATTTGGAGATGAAAGAAAAGTATGTTGAAGCATTAGTTGGCAAAAACGTTCTCTACTCTTACTCGGATGATCAACGTTGTATTCTTGATCGTTTTTCGTATATGATTACTCACAATATTCATTATTCGCTCTTCTGGAAGGAGACAAGATTGACGTTGGCAAGTTAAAGAAAGAGTTGGCAGATTTAGACCCAATCTTGAAGCGTGATGGTGCAAGCTCTAGTGTCTAGCTTTAGCTATAATTTTCTATCTTTGGACCTTTTTTGATTGTATCATGATAAATGTAATGGAAACTAGTATTTGTATCTTATTCCTTGTTAAGAACAAATGTCTTTAATATAATATAATGTCTTGTTTGCTTATTTGTGCTTTGGATTTTGTCATAACTTCAAAATTGAAATCTGTTTGATCCTTATGATGATCAAAATTGTAATCTATTCGAAGCATAATATGGAAAATCATGGTGGCTAAACCATGAGCTATTAAGGCTTTATAGTTAGTTCCTTTAATGAAAGAAAGGGTCGAACCATAGTTTGTCGAACCATGGCGACTGATCCATAAACTACTATGGCTTTATGGTTCTGTTATAAAAGAAAATATTGAACCATAGTTTAACGAACCATGGTGACTGAACCATAAGCTACTAAGGCTCTATGGTTATGTTAAAAAATTAAGGTTAAAACCATAGTTTGACGAACCATGGTGACCGAACATAAGATACTAATGCATTATGGTTATGCTATAAAAGAAAGGGTCGAACCATAGTTGGAAGAACCATGGAGACCGAACCATATGCTACGAAGGCTTTATGGTTCTATTATAAGAAAAAGGGCCGAACCATAGTTTGACAAACCATGGTGACTGAACCATAAGCTACTAAGGCTTTATGGTTCTGTTATAAAAAAAAGGGTCGAACCATAGTTTGACGAACCATGGTGACCGAACTATATGCTACTAAGGCTTAGTGAATTCAAATGTTCCGGATCGAAATAAACCGAAGAACCATCTTCAAAAAATGTGTTGAACCCCTTCCACGAAGTGGTGTAGTATTGCCACATCGTGGGGTTGAGTGAACAATCATAATGGTCGCGAGTTACAAGATCGCCACGACGTGGTCTAGTGATACTACGTCATGGTGTCAGGTCGGATGCAGTCGTGATAAAATCGAATGCCACGATGTGATGATGATGGGCATGTCGTGGTGGCTTCTCGGAGTTTCTTCAATAGCCAAAATAATGCATCGTTTCTTCTTAATGGCTTTGGACCATTTCCGACCTTTTTTCCTGTAAAATTCTTCTCTTCATCTGAAGGTTTTTATCGATCGGATACACTTCAAGTATTAAGAGAAAACATAAACTAATCTAAGAAAAATAAAGAACATAAAGTAAATAACACGGAGAGTTCTCCAAATTGTCTTCCACCAAGAAAGGGTATTTTCATCACCAAGAAAACGGGTTGTCACAAAGACGATTACGACACCAAGCCATGTTAACAATGTTAGGGTTTACCATAATGTTGTATATATACTAATCTATACAAGTATATCCCTTGATTGAAGGGATTGCGTCTAATCTATACTAAGAACCGATCTTATCACAAAGATACCGGATCTGTGATCTATTCTATACTTTTCTATATCATTACCTAATATACAAAAGATTACATAGAAAAACTATGCTATGCGCTGACGCTGACGCTGATACGTTTGATACGTTGGCACTGTCGATGTTGTAGACGCTGACACTGACAGATAGTGTGTGGAGTGTTTGACTCATAAGATCATAAGGTGTGACCTTACAATTGATGGGTTTTTGAGCATTCTAACACTCCTATGGTGTACATGCAACCCTAGAAACCTTGGATCTATGTTTGACTAAGATACATGCAAATAATTATTTTTCCAAGGTTCTTATCCTAACTAGCATGGCATGGGGTACTTGAATCAAATAAAACTAGTAGAATTACTTACCTTGTAGTAGTAGTTGATTGCTTGGAGTTTGAGAGCCTAGCACCAATAATGTGGATGCCTCAAATGGAAGTCACAAATCACCACAAACTTGGAAACTTGAGAGAATAGTCACAAACTTCTTGAAATCGGCCCTCTTAGTTTACACACATCAACTAGTGCAATTTCAAGAACCAAAGCCTCATTTATATAGTGTGGTGGATTAGGGTTACATCCATGTAAACCCTAATACCCATGTCTTTTCATTTCCATGAGATCCATGGGTTAAAGCTCCATGGAGTATCCATGGACTTTCCATGCAAGCCTAGCCCATTCCAAATAAGCATTAGCCCACACTATATAAATACACGAGCCTATATTTAATTAGTCATACTTTTGATCTCTAAATTAATTCTAAATTAATTATAGATCAATACTAATTAAATAATATGATTTTATATTAATATATTAGGACTTATAATATATTAATAAATCATAACTTATACTATTCTCAAACGATTATCCATAAATTGTTCGGGTGAAGTGCAACCCAAATGGACCATGCCGGGTCGGGTCAAGTACATACCAAATATAGTTATGGACTTAGACACTATATCCAACAGTCTCCCACTTGGATAAGTCTAATAACTATAGTTGCAAGTATGACTTCAGGAACCAATCAGCAATCGTAGCTCTTTAAACTCTGTTGAACTATGAAGCGCCATTTTAGATAAGTGATCATATAATCCTCTATTCTAGATATCAGCCGGACAAATACATGGAACATGGTCTTGCTTATTGTCTAGCATTTGTTTCCCGATTTCCGATTTGTTTGACATAGAACTTAACTAAACACATCAATTTAGTTCTGACCGGGCCCGGTACATAGGTCAAAACAAAATCATCGAGGGGCCCAGATATCGCTTCTAATCCTAGAAGGAACAGATAAACTTCCACTCATATGTTTGCTTTGAATTACACACAAAAGCACGGTTTATAACATCGAGTTACCAATACGTTTTCGTGCAATCAATGCATAACCAACTTATAGGCAACAAATCATATCTCTAGGTTTAAAGACTTATATGATATTACCGTCTCACGATCACTCGAGATAAATTCCATGAAGTGATACAAGTGAGCGTGGGTTGAATCCAATACTCAGAACTTATGAGCACTCATGAGTGTTGTAGCCCCGCTTTGTCTAACATCTTAGACCTCTACAAGCCAACCCATGACAGTCTTGATTCATATCTACTTCCAACATATGACCGACTGTGGAGAGTTTGAATAATATGATATAAACCATAACATAATTATTCTGGAAGTCAAAACATGCAAAAAGAAATAATAGTAAACGATTGACAAGAGATAGCAACACTTTACTCATAAATAATAGCTTTTATTTATCATCAAATGTCAATTACATTTTACAAATTTCAAGATTATCTAACTACTAAAACTAATATCATCCTTCAGCCCTATGCTCCGAGCATGCTGGAGATGCTTAGCTCGAGTCAGTCCCTTCGTGAGGGGATTTGCTGGGTTCTCATCCGATGATACCCTCTTTGCCACGAGGATTCCTTCTTCTATTCGATGTCTGATGAAGTGATATTTTCTGTCAATGTGTCTGGATCTCCCATGATCTCTTGGTTCCTTGGCTAAGGCAACCGCACTATTGTTGTCACAGAAAATATCCATTGGCTCCTTTATAGCTGGTACAACTCCAAGGTCTCCAATGAAGTTCTTTAGCCATATAGCCTCCCGCTTGCTGCTATATACTCTGATTCACAAGTGGAATCAGCCACTGTCTCCTGCTTGGAACTTTTCCAAGTAATTGCCCCTCCGTTTAGAGTAAAGACCCAGCCCGACTGAGAGCGGAAATTATCCCTGTCAGTCTGAAAGCTAGCATCACTGTACCCTACAACTCTCAAGTCCTCACTGCCACCGAGGGTAAGGACCCAGTCCTTAGTCCTCCGTAGGTACTTGAGGATATTCTTTACCGCAGTCCAGTGTGCCTTGCCAGGGTTCCCCTGATACCTGCTAACCATGCTCAAAGCAAAGGCTACATCAGGTCGAGTACACGTCATAGCATACATGATCGATCCTACAGCTGAAGCATAAGGTATTCGACTCATTTCTGCTATCTCAGCCTCAGTACTAGGGCTTTGTGTCTTACTCAATCTGGCGTTACTCTGGATGGGTAACTCTCCTTTCTTGGAGTTATGCATGTTGAACCTTTTCAACACTTTGTCCACATAGGTGCTTTGACTAAGTCCAATTAGTCTTTTACTCCTGTTTCTCAAAATCCTTATCCCTAGGATATAGGCAGCTTCTCCAAGGTCCTTCATAGCGAAACACTTCCCAAGCCAGGACTTTACTTCCTGCAGGGTTGGGATGTCATTTCCTATGAGTAGTATGTCATCCACATACAATACCAAAAAGCTGACTATACTCCCACTAGCCTTGATATAGACACAAGATTCATCTTCACTCCTTGAAAAGCCAAATTCTTTGACTTTCTCATCAAAGCAAAGATTCCATCTGCGAGGTGCCTGTTTTAATCCATAAATGG